TACCAATGTAAGTGAAATGTGTAACAAGCGTAAGGCTTCAGGCCCATGGGAGTTTAAGTTCACACTTTGAAAATGCCAGAATGAGAGAAATGAAAATTTCACATAAAACTGCTTAAATTCAATAATAAATGATAACCCATTTGAGCTGGCTTTCTTATTTGAACTGCATGCCAATCCTACAAATCATACTTGTAAGTTGAAAATAATAATAAGTAACACAGTTTTCTTTTCATAATGTTTGTAGTAGCAGTGCAAAAAGATTTTTGTCAATTTTGATGTAACATTACATAATAAATTATAGAATAATTATCACCAATTTTTGATTATTGACTATAAATAGCATGGACATGTAAAAAATTTGATTACGTTTTATGAATATTAGTCAGCTCTGTAAATATAAAGCCAAAAAGTAAAACTGTCTTCCACTTATGGTGTTAACGCTGAAAGTGCACGGCGACGGCGACGGCGACATGATCGGCGACGGCGACGGCGACGGCGACGACAGACGCAGGTGATGGCAATATGTACAGACACATCTGTGTCTGTACATAAAAATTAATGTCTTGAAAAAAATTGATATAAGGTAGCATGTCTACCACTGGCAAAATAAATCTGATATCTGGAACAAAATATTTCATGATGTATCTTCAGACCTCACTTACAATGAGAGTACCAAAGAAAGAGGTAACATTTACAAATGGTGGGCAGACAGCAAACACCCATGGGATACATTAATTATTAAAAGAAAGATGAAGGCCACATAATAACAATTATAATAATAAAACCCCTTTAGGCCAACATCTATATTATTTTGAGAAATCCCCTTAAGAACACCCGTGCACTACAGACTGGATGTGGTCACTTACAGTGCTCCTTTGAACCCCTCCTGACACCTGCACTCGCCTGTCACCGCATTACAATAGCCACCATTGCTACACTGACACAACTGGGCACACCCTTCTCCATAGAATGGTGGAGAACACATCCTCTGGCACCTAGGCCCAGTGTAGCCTGGTTTACAGCTACATGCACCGTCTGTTGGATGGCAGCTGTCACGAAGAAAGATATCTGTTATATATTTCTCATTTTATAAATTGCTTTACCATATTTTACTTTATAATACATCACATGCTAAAAGTATATTCTATAAGGAATATATCTTGTGCTAAATAATTTTTTCCTTAATAAATATACTTGTGGCAAGAATATTCAGCAAGTCAAAGACTGTACAGAATATCTGAAATAGCTGAAACAAAACTGTGGCATTGCAATTTTCTGTAGCCACAAGCTATGGGAAGAACATTGTATAAACCTTATGTAATAATATTCATAACTATCCTGAACTTAGAAAAAGATTTATACTATTAGTCTATTACCTTTCAGTGTTCTCAGTCACACAGGTACAGTTATGGGCACAGTTCACTCCATATTGATGCTCTGAACAAGCTGTAGAATAATAATAATATATATCACATCAGAATCAGTTTAATCAGTTTTATATGCTAATCTCAAAGTACTCTTAATACAATTTCACAACTGAACTATTTCAAGACAAACCAAGTGAATAAGGCAACAGCCATCCTGAAGCTATGTCTTGTTGGGGGCATAGAGGTATTGGAACACATTCACAATGCTTTGCCTGATTAAAAAAAATACAGAGTACATCAAAATGCAGACCTCCTCCAACAAGGAAAAGGGTAAGAAAAAGGGTAATTATTTTAAAAATATTAGGAGACATGGATTAAGCTGAAATTGTAACTATTACTTCTGTCCTTTCTATCCTGAAAATTTCACCAAAATTTGAGATGATTAAACTGAAATCGTAATCATTACTTCTGTCCTTTCTATATTGAAAATTTCACCAAAATTTGAAGAGAACTTTTTAAAGATATTTTGTCTAATGACAAAAAAGAGAAAATAAGGTAAAAAGAAAACTTCAGCACACATAAAGTAACAAACCTCTGGTCTGGCACTTTTCTCCAGTGAAACCCACTGGACAGACACAGGCGCCATCTGCCAGCGCGCAGGTGGCTCCATTCTGACAGTCACACTGCTGCGTACAGTTCATGCCATAGAAACCACTGGGACAAGACTCACTACATCTAAAAGAAACAGGTGTACTTCGTAATACTTTGATACAAAAGATAAAGCAGTACATTACTTACTACTTATATCCTCTTCATGTATAGATACACAAAATGAAGAAAAGTTGTACGCACGAGATAATTAATTTCTGCCATTACTAATAATGTATTACCACCAATGACATAAGGCCAGATTCATAAATATTTATAAATTTTGCATATAAAACCATGAAACTATATTAGGAAAATATTAAAAACCCTTGTTACTTAAAAAATTAAAACAAACAAATAATACACTGCAGGCTAGTTGGCAAAACCAGCTAGTAAATACTTTCACCAAAACTCTAAAGTAATTCAAGTCAACTTACTGTTCTCCAATGAACCCTGCAGGGCACCTGCACTCCCCAGTAATATGATCACAGGTTCCACCATTATAGCATGTCTTGCAGGATGCCATACAGCGATTACCATAGTAACCCTCAGGACACCGATTCCCACACACATCACCCTGTGAGAACACATAATAAGACTCACTATACATAGATAGATAAGTGGATTAGAGGAAATATCTTTCTCATGCACCTGTCTGAAATAAAACTTTTTTAATGATAAAAACATACTCCATGTGTTATAGACCTTCAATCAGCAGAAAGAATAATTTCTAAAAGTGCAGCTGAGTCAGTACCGACTTTCATGTATATAAACCAGCTGTGAGCAGATATAAAGATACTTCTATAGCTTTTAGTGTGTGTACGAGTTCCCCTTTCTTATTCTTAACAGTTTTCTCTTTAAAGTGCACACATTCAGCACAATAAGGACATAAATCAAAACAGCCATGCGTGGAGTGTTAGCATCATCCAATTTTGATTTAATCAACTGAAAGCACAAAATTTATTACTTTATTTATCAGTGAAAATAAGACAAATATTAAGCTGTGTATTTTGTTTACATACATATGACACAAAACCCACACACCCTGGTACTAATTTAACACTTACAGTCCATCCTGGAGTGCAAGTGCACTGTCCTGTAACATCACAAGTGCCTCCATTTTGGCACCTACACTGCTCACTGCAGTTGGACCCATGGGTGCCACTTGGACAGGGAGTGTCACACCTGAAGTTGAAACAAAAAATTATTAAGTATACACACAAAGAGTTTCATGCTAACATGACATAATTTTAACAATGATAAAAATTGTATAAAATTTGTCAAAACAAAATAAATTCAACTTTACTTTCATTCATTTCCCAGTGTTGTTATTTAAATTTATCAACTAAACAACTTGTTCATGCAAAGCCAGTATACCATAAAATATAAAAAACAGGATGTTACAAAAACACTGCACATCCTGCAGGGGAACTCACTAAAGTAGTTCAAAGGAAATTTAATATGATTTGTAAGTGGAAACAATGGGAGAAGTGTCAGCTTATAAACAAGTAACGGATACAGAGTAAAGTCCAGTACTATTTCCAGCAAAGAAAATATCATCCTTTGACTTACACTTGTTCTTGTTTGCCACGTGTGATTTTAGCAACTCCTTTTTTTATAACATTGCCAACTTCACCTCCCTACCGACAAGAACTGTACTTTCAATATTCATCTCACCTATATGAAGATATTAAAATTTAACAATTCATGCTTTTTCTCCCTACCAGCCCCCCCCCCCCCCATCCCTCCTCTTCATACAGAAATATCTCCCTAAAATGTCCTTTACTTACAAAGAGCCCATGTATCCTGGTGCACATAAGCATGCACCGCTGACAGGATCACATGTAGCACCATTCTGACAGCGACATGTTGAGGAACACTGGTCGCCATACTTCCCTCCTTCGCATGGTTGACTGCAGTCTGCCGATCTCCATCCTAAGGATAAAATAAAATTGCTTTAATAAAGATCTCTTGACATGTTTGGTAATACAACATTGATTTTACTCCAGATTTAGAGAACTCTTAAGGAGGATACATATGCTCATTAGTTAAACAAAATCAAAATATATTTTGTAAGAAAATCATTTCTTTTCTCCAGCAATATGCAATCAAATTTATGCTCCTTCAAAAATATAAGAAATCCATCACTTTTTGCTTTTGCTCTTTATGAAGAGTTGAAACATCATACTTCACATGTAAAAAACTTGCATAGTCTTTTTTGAAACAATTACCCTCTTATGTTATATGTTCTTTCAAAATTATTTTATTAAGAGTCAAGTTAGTACCCCACCTGGACTACATGCACACTGTCCTGTCATGACGTCACACGTGGCACCATTCTGACACTGACAGTCATAGGCACAATCATGCCCCCACTTGCCTGCCCCACAACCTAGAGAAACAGAAACACATTTGTTCTCATTATTAATTAGACCATCATGTCTATCAATTTTCTAACATTAAAAAGTATTCTTACCACTTATAGAAAATATTCAAGATTTCAATGTGTTTCTGAGCGATAAACAATTTTAACTTCCACATATTTTAATCAAGGCTTATATAATGAATTTTACCCATTAAATCAAAATGACCTCAACTGTTTATTCAAATACAAATTCCCATCACCTCTCTTTAATAGGCAATGGTATTCAAAACTGCAATAACTGACAGAAATTTGTTTGGAACTATTGTTTCCTGACAATTAAAAGATGACTAGCCATCAATTCAAATGAATCAAAGTGTAAGTGGCAATAAAATACTGACTCCTATCACATGTATCTCCTTGGTAACCAGATTCACATGAACACACGTTGGGAGCTGTACAGGTGCCATGATTACATGAATTCGCACAAACAGCTGGAATGAAAAAAGGGAAATCGTGAATCTCCTGCCGAGATGATATAAAAGCAAGTTATTATGTGTGTTAGGTAACAGTTCTCTATAAAAATCAACTTAGGAACAAACGTACTTATAATACAGTACTTAAAAAATAGTGGCTGCCTGTNAGAATAAGATTCTATAAGAAGATATATATTGATTCCATTTTTGACTGTATTTTATCCTTTGTTCCCAAAACTTAACATATAGCATTATTGATTGTCTATAAAAATGAAATTGAAAAAAAAATTATAAATCATAATTTGAAATTATTACTGATCCCATTCTTGTTTGCATTTAGTGTATGTGAAGCCACCTGTCCTGTAATGAATTGGAAGTCCCTGCTTACAAGTTTGAAAATAGTAAGAGAAAACCATGTTATGTCATTCTATAAAGACAATCAATATATTGTGCTGCTTTTTTTTTTGGGGGGGGGGGGGGGATAAATAGGACTTTTTGGTAGGCTGGGATGGAGGAGACATAAATACTTCATATACTTTACCTCACATGTTTCTTCACATCTATATCCTTTGTAACCAGCAGTACAAGTACACCTTCCTGTCACAGCATTACAGCCACCCTGGTTCTGACACTCACATACACTAGAGCAGTTCACTCCATACTTTCCACTGTCACAAGACTCCTGGCAAAATAGGCCCTTCCATCCTGGAAACATCATGTCATATTATGAAGAATATATCATTCTAGTAGACCATCACACATGGATAGTCAACATCTGAATGATCATTTTTTTTTAACACTTAAAAAATAAAAGTAGCAAACTATCAAATAAATGCAAAGGAAACTAATTATAGCATTTCTCCAGAAAGACATGAAATAAAAAAACCTTCACCAAACTTTCCAAAAATAAAGTCAAGATTCAAAGAAAGTACAAGCAAGCAAATCAACCATGTTATAGGACATGAACTACATCCTCCACTTCTATGATCTGATTCAGTCCATGGTGGGACATGGAGTCGACCAAGTACCTGGCTCACAAAGACATCTGCCCGATCTTGTGTCACATTTTGCACCATTGAGACACTGACACTGCTGGAGACAGTTTAATCCAAATGTTCCTTCTGGACATGCCTCTTCACACCTACGTGAGCCAATATCACATGCTATTAATGTCATAAAATCAATATACTAAAGAGAAGCATGACGTGCAAAAAGTTCTGGAAAAAGCTTCATTTTTGAAAGATGTACAGAATATCTTTGGTTGATGGCTGCAGACGCGATCAAATCGCCAATCAGACATCAGACAAAGGTATTTTTTTTTCAGTATTCCTAGATAAGATCCTATGATGTTATTTGGACTTATGCAGGGAATTGTTTGCAAAATATTCAATAACTTAAAACTAAACATATCTAACAATAAGCTGATTTAATATATAATAATTACTTATTAAAATAAAATAGAGTACTTTGATGTCATGATACAAAAAAATTATAATAATTGTTGTGCACTTATTGCTGCCATTTTAATCCAAAAAATAAACAATCCTTGGCATTATTGTAAGCAAGCAATTACACAAAACCTAATGTACAACTTATAAAAATAAGCAACAAGATGTTATAAAATATTCCCTTGTCATGCACAGCTCTAAAGATTCTACAGGACTTGCTCCATACTGGCTGATCAGCAACCACTTCATTGCAATAATTTATTTTGCAAATAAATAAAAAAAATTAATGTCTTGAAAAAAATTGATATAAGGTAGCATGTCTACCACTGGCAAAATAAATCTGATATCTGGAACAAAATATTTCATGATGTATATTCAGACCTGCCTTACACTGACAGTACCAAAGAAAGAGGTAACATTTACAAATGAAGGGCAGACAGCAAACACCCATGGGATACATTAATTATTAAAAGAAAGGGGAAAGCCACATAATAACAATTATCAGGGATGGATTCAGAGATATTTTCTGACAGTCTTCCAAATTATCTTTGTTTATCTATCCTCCATTTTTGACCGTCTTCCAACAGAAAAAATCAGATACCCATCAATGTAAGCTTGAAAATCTGACCGTCTTCCGGAAGACCCAGAAGATGGCCTAAATCTGCCCCTGATTATAATAATAAAAGCCCTTTAGGCCAACATCTATATTATTTTGAGAAATTCACTTAAGAACACCCATGCACTACCCACTGGATGTGGTCACTTACAGTGCTCCTTTGAACCCCTCCTGACACCTGCACTCGCCTGTCACCGCATTACAATAGCCGCCATTGCTACACTGACACAACTGGGCACACCCTTCTCCATAGAACGGCGGGGAACACATCCTCTGGCACTTAGGCCCAGTGTAGCCTGGTTTACAGCTACATGCACCGTCTGTTGGATGGCAGCTGTCACGAAGAAAGACATCTGTTATATATTTCTCATTTTATAAATTGCTTTACCATATTTTACTTTATAATACATTACATGCTAAAAGTATATTCTATAAGGAATATATCTTGTGCTATATAATTTTTTCCTTAATAAATATACTTGTGGCAAGAATATTCAGCAAGTCAAAGACTGTACAGAATATCTGAAATAGCTTAAACAAAACTGTGGCATTGCAATTTTCTCTAGCCCCAAGCTATGGGAAGAACATTTTATAAACCTTATGTAACAATATTCATAACTATCTTGAACTTTGAAAAAGATTTATACTATTAGCTTATTACCTTTCAGTGTTCTCAGTCACACAGGTACAGTTATGGGCACAGTTCACTCCATACTGATGCTCTGAACAAGCTGTAGAATAATAATATATATCACATCAGAATCAGTTTAATCAGTTTTATATGCCAATTTCAAAGTACTCTTAATACAATTTCAAAACTGAACTATTTCAAGGCAAACCAAGTGAATAAGGCAACAGTGATCCTGAAGCTATGTCTTGTTGGGGGCATAGAGGTATTGGAACACATTCACAATGCTTTGTCTGATTAAAAAAAATACAGAGCACACCAAAATGCAGACCTCCTCCAACAAGGAAAAGGGTAAGAAAAAGGGTAATTATTTCAAAAATATTAGGAGACATGGATTAAGCTGAAATTGTAACTATTACTCCTGTCCCTTCTATCCTGAAAATTTCACCAAAATTTGAGATGATTAAACTGAAATCGTAATCATTACTTCTGTCCTTTCTATATTGAAAATTTCACCAAAATTTAAAGAGAACTTTTTTGAGATATTTTGTCTAATGACAAAAAAGAGAAAATAAGGATAAAAGAAAACTTCAGCACACGTAAAGTTACAAACCTCTGGTCTGGCACTTTTCTCCAGTGAAACCCACTGGACAGACACAGGCGCCATCCGCCAGCGCACAGGTGGCTCCATTCTGACAGTCACACTGCTGCGTACAGTTCATGCCATAGAAACCACTGGGACAAGACTCACTACAACTAAAAGAAACAGGTGTACTTTGTAATACTTTGATACAAAAGATAAAGTAGTACATTACTTACTACTTATATCCTCTTCATGTATAGATACACAAAATGAAGAAAAGTTGTACGTACGAGATAATTAATTTCTGCCATTACTAATAATGTATTACCACCAATGACATAAGGCCAGATTCATAAATATTTATAAATTTTGCATATAAAACCATGAAACTATATTAGGAAAATATTAAAGACCCTTGTTACTTAAAAAATTAAAACAAACAAATAATACACTGCAGGCTAGTTGGCAAAACTAGCTAGTAAATACTTTCACCAAAACTCTAAAGTAATTCAAATCAACTTACTGTTCTCCAATGAACCCTGCAGGGCACCTGCACTCCCCAGTAATATGATCACAGGTTCCACCATTATAGCATGTCTTGCAGGATGCCATACAGCCATTACCATAGTAACCATCAGGACACTGATTCCCACACACATCACCCTGTGAGAACACATAATAAGACTCTCTATACATAGATAGATAAGTGGATTAGAGGAAATATCTTTCTCATGCACCTGTCTGAAATAAAACTTTTTTAATGATAAAAACATACTCCATGTGTTATAGACCTTCAATCAGCAGTAAGAATAATTTCTAAAAGTGCAGCTGAGTCAGTACTGACTTTCATGTATATAAAGCAGCTGTGAGCAGATATAAAGATACTTCTATAGCTTTTAGTGTGTGTATGAGTTCCCCTTTCTTATCAGTTTTTCTCTTTAAAGTGCACACATTCAGCACAATAAGGACATAAATCAAAACAGCCATGCGTGGGGTGTTAGCATCATCCAATTTTGATTTAATCAACTGAAAGCACAAAATTTATTACTTAATTTATCAGTGAAAATAAGACAAATATTAAGCTGTGTATTTTGTATACATACATATGACACAAAACCCACACACCCTGGTATTAATTCAACACTTACAGTCCATCCTGGAGTACAAGTGCACTGTCCTGTAACATCACAAGTGCCTCCATTTTGGCACCTACACTGCTCACTGCAGTTGGACCCATGGGTGCCACTTGGACAAGGAGTGTCACACCTGAAGTTGAAATAAAAAATTATTAAGTATACACACAACGAGTTTCATGCTAACATGACATAATTTTAACAATGATAAAAATTGTATAAAATTTGTCAAAAGAAAATAAATTCAACTTTACTTTCATTCATTTCCCAGTGTTGTTATTTAAATTTATCAACTAAACAAACTTGTTCATGCAAATCCAGTATACCATAAAACATAAAAAACAGGATGTTACAAAAACATTGTACATCCTGCAGGGGAACTCACTAAAGTAGTTCAAAGGAAATTTAATATGATTTGTAAGTGGAAACAATGGGAGAAGTGTCAGCTCATAAACAAGTAACGGATACAGAGTAAAGTCCAGTACTATTTCCAGCAAAGAAAATATATCATCCTTTGACTCACACTTGTTCTTGATTGCCACGTGTGATTTTAGCAACTCCTTTTTTTTTTATAACATTGCCAACTTCACCTCCCTACCAACAAGAACTGTACTTTCAATATTCATCTCACCTATATGAAGATATTAAAATTTAACAATTCATGCTTTTTCTCCCTACCAGCCCCCCCCTCCCCCAAATCCTTCCTCTTCATACAGAAATATCTCCCTAAAATGTCCTTTACTTACAAAGAGCCCATGTATCCTGGTGCACATAAGCATGCGCCACTGACAGGATCACATGTAGCACCATTCTGACAGCGACATGTTGAGGAACACTGGTCGCCATACTTCCCTGCTTCGCATGGTTGACTGCAGTCTGCTGATCTCCATCCTAAGGATAAAATAAAATTGCTTTAATAAAGATCTCTTGACATGCTTGGTAATACAACATTCATTTTACTCCAGATTTAGAGAAATCTTAGGGAAGTAACATGGATACATATGCTCATTAGTTAAACAAAATCAAAATATATTTTGTAAGAAAATAATTTCCTTTCTCCAGCAATATGCAATCAAATTTATGCTCCTTCAAAAATATAAGAAATCCATAACTTTTTGCTTTTGCTTTTTATGAAGGGTTGAAACATCATACTTCACATGTAAAAAACTTGCATAGTATTTTTTGAAACAATTACCCTCTTATGTTATATGTTCTTTCAAAATTATTTTATTAAGAGTCAAGTTAGTACCCCACCTGGACTACATGCACACTGTCCTGTCATGACGTCACACGTGGCACCATTCTGACACTGACAGTCATAGGCACAATCATGCCCCCACTTGCCTGCCCCACAACCTAGAGAAACAGAAAGACATTTGTTCTCATTATTAATTAGACCATCATGTCTATCAATTTTCTAACATTAAAAAGTATTCTTACCACTTATAGAAAATATTCAAGATTTCAATGTGTTTCTGAGCGATAAACAATTTTAACTTCCACATATTTTAATCAAGGCTTATATAATGAATTTTACCCATTAAATCAAAATGACCTCAACTGTTTATTCAAATACAAATTCCCATCACCTCTCTTTAATAGGCAATGGTATTCAAAACTGCAATAACTGACAGAAATTTGTTTGGAACTATTGTTTCCTGACAATTAAAAGATGACTAGCCATCAATTCAAATGAATCAAAGTGTAAGTGGCAATAAAATACTGACTCCTATCACATGTATCTCCTTGGTAACCAGATTCACACGAACACACGTTGGGAGCTGTACAGGTGCCATGATTACATGAATTCGCACAAACAGCTGGAATGAAAAAAGGGAAATCGTGAATCTCCTGCCGAGATGATATAAAAGCAAGTTATTATGTGTGTTAGGTAACAGTTCTCTATAAAAATCAACTTAGGAACAAACGTACTTAAAATACAGTACTTAAAAAATAGTGGCTGCCTGGNATATTGAACAAAATTCTTGTCATAGACCATGCTTACTAATATATCACAAAGATACTACAAAAATAGTTATTATATAGATCATTATATCATGAAAAAACAGCATAAGTTACCTATACACCTGCCACTCTCCTCCCTGTAACCTGTGCAACACTGGAACACTTCCTTTATACGAGTATGGTAGGTGGCACGGTAGGCAATTCTGTACTTAGTTCTATTCAGAAAGAATAAGATAAGTTTCTACATGGGACAGAATCTATATGTAGGCACTGTCAATGAGGTGTACTTTCTGGAAGGGCAATTTCACAAAATTTACTCCCTGTAAGTAACTTCCCCTCCAAAAATCATTTCACCTACTGGATTCAGATTAGAACATTAAGCAATTTTAAAATTCACTCTCTTGAACTAAATTGATCAGGATGAAAGTGGAAGAAACTTTGATGAAGAGAAAAAAAGCAAACAAAGCCTGGAATTATCTGCAAGTGAAACTGGGCATAACACTATGTTCTGTAGATATAGCTGTTTAAAAAGGTGGGCAGTTTTCAAACCAAAACTCCTAAGACAATTGCAACTTATCTTTTCACATTCCCCTAAACAAATACTTTAAGACATGATTTTCATTAGAATTGTATGTAAAAAACATTTGTATCCAAATCATAAAATCCATTTGAAGTATCACTAGTCTACTTAACTAGTAATTGCACATTAGCTAAAAATCAGTTACATCTAAAATCTCAGTCAAGGATTGACCTTAAATAACCCAATACAATTCTTGTGGTATCCCACTGTCATGGTTTTATTTTATTTTATTTTTTTTTTATTTAATATAGCTAGAGCAATTCTTAATTCTTTGTGGCATGCATATCAGTTACATACCAGCACCAAAAGACTGTACTAGCACAGTTGCCAATAAAATTAAAGATCAGATACTTTGCACACTATGCCCTGATAATTCACACAATGGCATCCTATTATAATATGAAAACCTCAACTATATCAGATTGGAGATTTGCCAATATAAAACACAAATCAAATCATTGCCTTTTTTTAATACCATGCAAAGACATTGTAAGCAACATTATGCTAATGAGAAGTCTATCTGCCTAAGAAAAAATTCATCAAGTCTTGAACTGTTAAAAATCTAATCAATCTTGATTTTGAGATGATCACATTTTTACTTACATGATTGTGATACATAATTATGGAAATGATATGCTAGTAAGTGCTGTCATATGTACTTACATATATTTGGTACATCTAGGAGGCCAGTTTAAACACCATGTCATAGTCAGGTAAGTATATGGCTGGCTATATGTCTCGGTTCTTGAATAGGTCTCCCTGTGAAAAATACGATTGAGCCAACATTTTCATCAAGCAATTTGAACTCACAAACAAGTGTTGGAAAAACGTTTCTTTATATGTCTTTTCAGATAGAACTAATGAATTTATTCTGTTCTTAAAAATATGTTTGCCTTCTTGATTTGAATAATTTCCAATGGCAAAAAATTGAAATAAACTTTAAAAAAAAAAATTGGACCATGCACTGAAACAAATGAAGTATAGCAGATCATGGGGCTTGTTGAAAGAAAGATTTTTAGACCAAAAGTTTGTCTCAACTATATGACCATCAATTCAGTCTGATATGATTAATTGGAAAAAAAATGTAATATGAGAAAGTATGGACATTGGTAGAAGAGACAGCTTAATGCTTGCTTCCATCGAAGGAGACACGGGTGGTAAAAAGCAAAGAGAAGAGGGCAACGTGGAATGAATAATGAAAAATCATTGCATGGCAGGATGGTGCGGAGGAACCACATAGACAAGATTATGAACGGAGATGAATATTGAGACTATTCTGGTGGACTATCTAGAAATTTATTTAATCTAAACTGACAAAGACCAAAATTTTAATCTAGAAGTAAAAACCAGCTTTCAGTCATAATTTCTTTAAGTAATCAGTGATATGAATGCTCAAAGCAATGCAAAAGTGTGAAAGGTAATATATAACTTCCACACATGACAGAGCTGAATATTTCTCCATAAATTATATCTGATATTAACAGATAATAGGAGAAAATAGCCTCTAGTCTTCTTTCTGGTTTCATAATAAAATATATATGAAGACATAAATATCATCAATCCTGACACAGGGCGTTGCCATATACTGACAATCAATGGATAGTTTCTCTGAACAAAGCTATATAATACACCATGACTCTTATGCAATGGAAGGGGACTAACATAGAGATCAAATGGGGCCCATTTCACAAAAGAACTTAAGTCCAAAAATTGAGTTTATCTTAAAGACCGAATTTTAAGTCTACTTTAAGCTAAGATCAATCAGTATTTTGTTCAATAAACATGCATTTCAGCCCAAAACTTTCTTTATATAAGTGATGGCCTTAAAATTTAGACCAAATCAGAAAAAAATGTCTTTTGTGAATTTAGCCCCATTTGTTGCTTCAGTCAATAATATAATTATTCTGAATGCTGCCTTTATTACTAATGCTACTTACGTAGCCTGAGATGAGCACACATTGGGCACATCTCTTGACAGGGCTGTCACCAGTGTGACCAAAGACAGTGTGACCAATACCACAGTCTGCATCCTGGCAAGATGACTGAAATATAAGATTTTAATTTTGAATTTAGAACAACGCTGACATGATTTTTCTGTCCCAAGAATTTTACATCAATAAATTTAACTGTTTTTTAATTTTTGAGGACATTTATGTCCAGTTTTCGCAAAAAAAGAATCTTCAATCATAAATTACCCCAATAGATATAAATAGCAGAAGAAGAGACAAGAGAATCTGGGTGCATTTAGGTTGCTTCTACATTTAACAGAGTCACAACACCACTGGACATATTAAAACTAATACATTGAGTTATTAACATGATAGTGCCCCCTACTTAAAAAAATGCCTCTACTTTAATGAGCAGTCTACAATACTCTTAAAGTGTAACAAAGGAGTCCCTGCTAAACTATAGAAGCCCATGCATAAATAAAGGCTTCCACCTCCACCCCCCACCCCCCCCCC